CTATTAAAAGAACGCCTTATTTCCGCACCAATTGTCACATATCCGAATTTTGATCATCCATTTATGCTTCAGTTGGATGCATGTGACTATGGACTCGGTGCCGTTCTTGCTCAAAATATCGAAGGCATTGAACATGTCATAGCCTATGCCAGTAGGACCCTGCAGCCTTGTGAAAGGAAATATTCTGCACCTGAACGCGAATGTTTAGCCATCGTCTGGGGCACTCAACATTTCAGACCTTATCTCGAAGGACGGCCTTTTGAAGTCTGGACCGACCATCGGTCCTTGACTTGGTTGAAAAATATAAAAGATCCAACCAGCCGTCTGGCCAGATGGGCAATGAAACTTGATGCCTATGACATGGTCATTAAACATCGACCAGGAAAGGCCAACTCAAATACCGATACTCTTTCACGATATCCTCTCAAATCTGAGATAATAGGTGTCTTGCAGAGTAGTGGTATTATGATAGGTCCATTAGAAGAAAATCAGGAGGTTGCAGTTAATCTGTGGGATAGTTGCAGTATTTTGAATGATATAAAATTGTCTCAGCGACAGGACAAGGACCTTGGTCCTCTTATTTCTTTCATTCAAGATGATATTCGTCCTGCTGATGAAATTTTCCTTCGAAAAATAGAGGGACAGGCTAAAGTTCACCGAGTAATCGACGGAAAATTATATCGGACCCGCAAAATAGAAGAAGATTCACCTTTGAAAAATAATCTTAGCCCGCATCTTTTAGTTATTCCAAAATTTAAGCGGACAGAACTTCTTCAGCTGGCTCATGACCATCCAATTTCAGGTCATCTTGGCCGTCGAAAGACTCTACATCGATTAGCAATTCGTTTCCATTGGGGCGGAATGAGGCGTGACGTTGCGCATTATGTAAGATCATGCGATCTGTGCCAACGTTTTAAGGCCGCAAACGAAAAGAAAGCAGGTTTAATGCAATCTCACGTAGTACAGTCGCCTTGGCACACTATCGGAATTGATTTAACTGGTCCTTTACCGAAAACTCCGCGCGGGAATGCCTACATCTTAGTTGTAGTCGATTATTTCACGAAATGGGTCGAATTTTTCCCTCTAGGTACCATTAAATCGAGAAATATCGCTCAACTACTGCATGACGAAGTCATTTGTCGTCATGGCATTCCCGTTAAAATCGTTTCCGATAACGGTGCACAATTTGTTGCCGACGTTTTTCGAGAAACTTTAAAGATCATGGGTATCCGGCATCGAACGACCGCTCTTTATCATCCTCAATCAAACTTATCTGAGCGTGTCAATCGGACATTAAAGCCCATGCTGGCTATTTTTGCCGAACATGATAAAGAATCTTGGGATATACGGTTGCCGCAGCTAGCACTGGCCATCAGAGCGGCCATAAATGAATCGACTGGCCAAAGTCCAGCATTTTTAATGTATGGCCGAGAACTGAAACTACCGCTTGATCTCATGTATGGTCCCGAAACGGATGTTCTTGATGAGTTAAAATCATCTGAGGAAGTCCGAGCCTACACTGAACGACTTAAAGCCATTCTTGTCTCTGCACATCAGTCGGCCAGAGAAAATTTGGAAATTGCCCAGCAAGGGCAAAAGCTTCTTTATGATCGACGTCGTAAAGATGTCCAGTTTAAAGAAGGTGACCTTGTTTTGATGGCTAACACCTCAGGATCAGCCTTAGGCAAATGGGCTCTTCCTAAATTGGCTCCTAAATGGATAGGTCCTTTTCGAATCTCTCGCAAGATTGGTCATCTAGACTATGAACTAGTTTCTTTAGAGGATGGTGCGGTTCTTTCGTCTATTCACGTCGAAAGACTGAAACCATATCATCGTTCATCGTCAATTCTAGTCCCAGATGCATAAGGGAACTAATTTAGCCTCTCACTGTACACATAAATACTTATATCTTATAGCTGTGCTCTTCTTTTTGCTAGATTTTGCTTCTTCGTGTTGTATTGCAGTGTGCAATATCTCTAGCTATTTCAGTTGCATTGTGCAACACTGTCCAGACAGAGGAATTCCTCTTCTCATTGTACTACGTATTACGCTTATTTTGTACAAGTTAGAAAATTCTCTTACAAAACTTTTTGTTCATAAGGATACTTCATCCTCATTATTTTCTCCTTTTCCCACAGCTTTATCATGCATTAGCGCTCATTGGCAATTCACCTTGGCCAATAAAAAGATAGTTATGGCCTTCTACTGGATTATAGCAGTATCATAACGACATCAGCTATCTAGCAGAACGATTTGTAATGGCATAAATGAATAGAAGGGATGGAAAAGAAAAAGAGAACGTGCATTTCCTACAGAATGAAAGCCTTATAAATATCCAGCAACAGTTACGTTTTACCGTAACTTGCATTATATAAAATATAATGAGAATGAAAAGAAGAATTAAAAAGATTAAACGTTTTGTTTATAGTTATGACGTTAAAAGTTCTCATTCGTTTTAGAAGATAGCTAGATCATGTTTTCTTCTCGAACAACGAGTCTCAGGAACTCCTTCTTTTCCTCGTCTTCATTATCAACCGTGGAGTCACAATGTTCCTAATGGGGAGAGAAAACAAACATTTTCAAGTTTTTTCAGGTTTAGACCGCATCTTTTCGTTTTCTGTCCATACGGAACTTGTAGCCACTCTATTGCTTCAGTATGAAGGTTGGATTTTCCGGAAGCTTATGATCATTGAGAGGAAGACGTATCAATCTTCTTTACGTTAGGAACTACAATAATTCTCGAACATCTATAAAGAAAGAGCTTGTAGAAAAAAAAAAGTTACATTTTATGACTTTTGTTAAATCCGATTCTTCTTTTCATTCAGCAAATATCTCAGCTAAACGTTTGTGTTCGATTCTCAACTGACTTCGCTTCGCAAACGTTTGAAGAACACAGTCTACCTTCTAGCCTTTATTAAAAAAAAAAAAAAGAAAAAAAAAAAGAGTTTTAGTATATTAATAAGTACAAAAACTATGTACACATAAAAGGTTTTAGTTCGCTTCAAGTCTTTTCTCTCTTTTCCTGGGCTGGCAGACATTTGCCTGATAGCTGTGTCGTTGATGGCGTCTACATGGTCACCGCAACTGAAATGGTTACGTTATTTTTATGTAATGTAATTCAAATAGTTGTATTATTCAGACATGACTCATCTAAGGTTATAACCGCGATTTTCCTTTCTTGAAGTCAGTGACTGGTCGAAATCAACCGTGACTGTGACCGAGGAGTCCTCTTAGATGAAAAATCAGTACGATCTTTTTGGATGTAGGCTAATTAGCTTCTTTTCCCTTTTTCTCGTTAGTTTTCTACTCAAGTCTGCATCAAAATAGCATAGTAGCAGTCATTCTCCTCTCTCCGGCTTGTATTCTTTTGTTCATGTCGTGCATATGAAGCTTTCTTGATTTAACTTTCAACTTATATTTGAAAAAGAAAACTATTTACACGAACAAGAAGATTAAGAAAGGAAAAAATAAGGGAGAAAACGAGAAAAGAAAAGTGAACCTAACGAAACAAAATGTCAATTATTAAAATAATAAACAAAAATCAAAAAAATAAACATGGGTGAAAAACTCAATATATGAGTCCGGAACGGCATCTGCGTCCGCAAAGACTACCGTCCCAGCGATGGGTGGTGGCTTTTGGCCGAAAACCCGAGCGGTGGTGAACAGCCGGGTCTTTTGAGCGAAGAGTAATGCTAAATACAGTACTCTTCGTGACCAGCTGACACCACCGATGGGTTTTTCGACCAAAACCAGTAAGCTACCACCACCCACCTCTTCCACCCATCGGATAATGTTCAACATCCTCTCCTTCTTCTCATTGTCATCATATATATTGTCCATGGATAATGAACTTGTTGTTTTTGATTTTTATTTATTTATTTATTTGTTGTTATGTTTTGATGATGAGGATGGTGAACGTTTTCTTTTTTTTTTCTGCTAAATTTAAATTAATTTGACTTAATTAAATTTACTTCAGTTCAATTCCACTTACTTCAATTTAATTCAATTTCTTTCAACTTCGTTCAATTTAATTTTATTTATTTTATTTATTTTTTTTATTTTTTTTTATTTGTTGGATGATGATGAATTTATCACTCGAAGAGACAGAAGAGAGAGAACAGACTTGTTGCTTTTTGAACTTTTATTCAAATGAGATAGATGAATTGGTGCCAATCTCCATATCAAGCGTTTCTCGAGAAATCCTGACAAGTTAGTTAGTCTTCTTTTCAGTGGCGCCAATCATTTACTCTCAAGTGACAAGCAGAAGAAAAGCAAAAAGGAAAACAAAGAAGGTCATAGAGCCGAACGTCTTTCTCTATCCTGATTTTTGAATCCGGGACGGATTCTCCCGGGGCGACGGGGTGATTGTAACGGCTCATTGCCATTACATTATTCTCCCTCCCTGATTTTATCGCATATTCTAGAAATTCTTAAAACTTCGAAGCTTAGCGGACTTTAGGGAGAGATTATAGAAAGAAATTATTTATTATTTA